CAGGGTAAATCGCAATTAAAGGACCATAAAGCATAGAAATAAGATGCAAAGGCATAAACACTTCTCAAAAAAAAAAAAAAAAACCTCACAAAACCAAACGAAGAATGTATTATAACACCTACATATTCCCGATATAGATATAACCACACGCCTGGATTTTTTAAAGTGGTGTTATTTACCACCTGAAACGGATTGTATTATATCTGCCTTTGATAGGGTACATCTTTTCAGGTTTCTTGGCTTAAGAATCTGCTCGGAGAGCTGATACTTCATGTTTGCTATTTGACGTTCACCACTGATTCTGGTGCACAAAAAAGTTACATATATATATCGATAGTAGTGAACCATGGAAGATATCACACAAATGTGTCTGCGGCGTGACATTTAACAAAGAAGAAGACATATACACATAATGAAGATAAAGTAAAGAAACAAGCAAAAACCAAAACAAAACAAACAAGAGGCCCATGGGCCTTAACGATCATCTGACAATCAAATGATTAATCTCAGAAACCATTGCCCTTCTAAAGTGATGTTTCAAACGTATTTGGTTGGAATCTGTATGGGCATTCAGAAATACTAGTACCAGAAACAAAATTTCAATTCCCAAAGCGATGGTTCTAACTGAATATGACTGAAATCTTCAAAATGAATTCTAGCAAATCGCCATTTTGGGCCTCCCTTCTGTCAATGGAGATTTCATCAGTTTTCTAACTTGAAAAAAAGTTTACCATCCCCAAGTAATTTTTTAGACTTAATTGGATTGAAGTTATCCTAGACGTAAGGGAAGAGAAGCATATGAAGACAAAACATTCAGCTCATTTTTTTTCATTTAGGACTCCATTCCAGTAACCTGGGCCTATCATCTTTCTGAATTTAAGAAATGATTTGCCTCCCTAAGTGATGATTCAAAATAGCCCAGACTATAAGGAATAGTAAACTTTTGAACAAAAAATTTAGCCAAATTTCTTATTCAGAGCCACACCATCAGTCTCTCAGAGGTCGAATCAACTTTATGAATTTAGGATGTTGTTTCCCTATGGGTCCCCAGCCCCAAAGGGTTGAATCAATTTTGTGAATTGATCAAATGAGTGTCCCTAATGGAGTTTCAGACCAACTCTGATTGAAGTATACTGACATGTTAATGAAATAAAATCTAATATAAATGATCTATTTGGGCGCCGCCGTCAAGTGTTGATTCAACTGAATTTTATTGAAATCTGCTCGTCCCCCTTTTGGAACCCCAGTCACTAGTCGTCGTATCAATTTTCTGAAATTAAGAGATTAATGCCGAACTCGAATAATATGTAAGACCGAAAGTTAGTTGATCTATGCTGATTCGTTAAGGGAGGGTTTGGTTTTAAAACGAATATTTAGCCAAAATCCTCGTTTGGATTCCCGCCCAATGTACCTAGGGATTGAGTCAACTTTCCATAATTGACAAACTCTGCTTAAGCTATATAGTTGCGTTAAGGATAAGTAAAGTTGTAACGCAAAATTTGAGCTTAATTCCCCATTTTGTCACCGTCCCTCATTCCCGGGTCGAACCAAAATTCAGCATTAACAAAACGAGGAATGCGTTATCAGATATATACATATCAGTTGACTCAATGTTCGCTTCAAAAGACGTTATTGATGCTTATATCACTAGAGAATGTCCTGATGTCGACACTACCGGGATACTAATTAGCTACAGTGCATGTTGTCTGTGATCAGTCCAGTATGGACTATCATTACATCAGCTATCTTTCCTGGAAGCGAAATGAAAAGAACCTGCCTTGATCTGATGATATTATAAATAAGGTTAAATCAAAATGACACGTATATCATTTTTCGTCGGATCACAGCGAATGGATTACTGTTCACAAGCAAGAAAAACGAGCTATAAACATTATCAGCTTTATTTCAAAGTGGCATCGTTGATATGATGTATCTTAATACTTTGCATTGATTTCATTATTGTTGGATTAAGTATTCTCGGCTACTATCGGCTGTCAGGCTTATCGCTTTACCGTCTGACAAAGCGTGACGAATTACCTTTAACTGTGAGGTGAGAAACAAGAAATTAAAAACAAATTGGTGTTCAGGGAAATCCCGATTCCGTAATAATGTTATAAAATGGCCGTCATGGCCGCAACTGAACTTTCGAGGAGGCCAAAAAATAACATTACTTTGTCGAGTTCCTTACCTCAATTTGAAGTGTGTTTTTCAACATGGCGGTCATCTTGGATTTCGAACTGACCCGAAAAATAAGAACATCAGGATCATTTTAGCCGAATCGCCCTGGTGAAATATGGATGGACAACATTCTATGACTTTGGGCCATCCTGGAGGGCAAAACCTCGACCAAATGAACAATCTACTCCGAGTCCCTTAAACGAAGGAAAAACAGAAATCTATAAACGACTTGCACGGAGGTCACCGGAAAAAAACTCATTCAGACGAAGTGTCTTCTAGTGATGAGTACATGTAATGGACTTAAAACCGCACGAGGACATCCATATAAACGGAATCACATTTCAATCAAAAGCTAAAAAAGAACACCCCAAAATAGTGAAGTCTTACAAAAAATAAAGAGAGCTTTGATGTGGAAAAGTAAAAAACATGGAAATATTCGAAAAAGAATACCATACGATACAATCACCATTGAATTATCATAACTTAAATCGTAGCCAAGCATTAGCTCACTCTTACTCGATATCGGCGAACTTACATATATATGAATGCAGCACGGTGCTTTTTCTTATTGCATACTAGGAGTCTGAAAATATTCTCGTTGTCGGCTGATTAGGTGCGGCATTCATATCACCATATGCCGCGCAGCACACTAGTATACTATATATGGACAACATGAATGATATATACTTCAGTTTTAGGGTAATGATGCGGATATTTTCCTTTATTTTATAAATTTATAGAGTGTTGTTTTCCTCTAATGCGACAGATTTTTAGAAAGGTAAGGCTTAAATAGTATCTCCATTGGCACACATAGAAAGCCAATATTCCTTGACAAGACGAATCTTTTTTTTTTGCCAATTAAAGAGGCTTATAAATCTGAACAGTCCTAATTATCGCTAATACTTGCAGAACTGATGCAAACAATTATGAAATAGTATAAACAGTAGTTTCAGCAATGTAACTTTTCTTGGCAAGAAATTATATATAAGTATTACGTGAACTTACGCAATCACATTATAAAATAGCTGTCGTCTGAATTCTTAAAGTCCACACATTTTTTTCTCAGTGAAACCCCGTGACACTTGTATAATTGTAGAGTTAATTATAAAGTGTTTCAACTGAACCAAGAAATAACCAGCACCATCTTAGAATCAGTCCAAGTTTAACAAAAACAATTAAAAAAGTTTTTTATAATACTAGCAGGTATTTGTTGTAAATGAAAATCATAATTGTGCTATAATGTTAAAACTGGACTCGTAGCTGTTATGTTGAACTTTCCGAAAAGCATCACCGGTTACTTAACATTTTGTCGACATCCTTTTCTCCACATCTCCAGCAACCGACAGTTCGGCGGCACCAGAGGAATTGGAGGAACGGACCAAAAATAGCAACATTTGGTCAGGATTACCTCTGAAGTATTTCAGTCAAATCCCACTCGATATGACACTTAAAGAAGAGTACAAATATACAAATGGGCGGATCACGAGAAGTATATTGGTGATCCGACCCGCAGGGTCATGATAAGATAACAGTCAGATGACTTAATCATGTGGTAAGATACAAAGACAACCAATCCCAGCTTAGAAAAGTATCTTTTGTTTATTGAAAGAGAAATAAACAATGGCACATGATCAGATTATACACATATATGGACATTATTTACACAAGACTAGGTACAAAATCCCTAACCCATGTTCCATAATATCAAGGATACTATGATACAATATTTACATTTTCTGTGGACTACAGATTGGGAATTAGTGCCCTGTGATTAGTAAGATCTCTCTCCCACAATCATCCTCTTTTGCATGCTCTCATTTTTATCATTTTCCTTCCTTATTTCAACCTATCATTCCTTCATCCTTTATGTACTTTCTAACTCTCCATTGACATCTCTTATCTATATATAATTAAAAAATAAAATCTCTTTAAAGCATCAATAATAAAGAAAATATCTAGTTTTACTATATCTTAATTAAATCAAATATCTTGCAAAGAAAATTAAGATATCTAACTTACTAAAGAGAATATCTAGTTAAGTTGATAAGATATAAAGAAAATCAAATTAGAAATTGATTTTACTAAACATCTAATTAAGCATATATACAATTTGGTTGAGTAAATTATCAACATTGAATAACCAATTACCATATACAGACTGGAAGACTGGAACTGTTTGCTGCCACAATGACCATTGACAAAAAGTTTTTGTGGTTGTCCCTTCTGGTTCAATATCACCTCATTTTTTTCTTTTTTTTTTTCTTTCTTGGAGGTGTGTGTGTGGGTGGGGGAGGGGGTGTGTTCTTGCCAAACATAACTCTATTTTTGTATGGTTGTCTGGCCATTAACAGCACAACAGACAACAGTTTCTAATATGGTCAATATGATTGCAAGACAATAAAAGATGCAGGTTACAATTCACGGTGGTTTTAAGTCCTTGGGAAGTCAGCTGATTCTTCCACATTGTTGATCGAAGTGAATTAATAACATAAAATTATATTAAATATATACAGTTAATTAAGATGATTGTGATGGCTTTTATAAAGGAATGGAATATTTGATACAGACTTCTTCCCAAACTTCATGTTAGCTGCCATTACATGGTAACTATTTTGCAAAATCTATAAACATTCATGAGATGTTCGTTTTAGATAAAATCATTTCTAAGCAGAGAATTGGATTCCCTACTTCCAGATAAATGTTTTTCATTTCATGAATATAGATTTTTCTTCCTTTAATAACATATTCTTAGTGATTTTAATAATCCATTTCAAACCTTTACTATGACAATAACAAGGATATTACATAAAACATTATGAGTGTTACCACGGTAACAACGAAAGCCATATCGAGGTAGTCATGACAATGAACAACAGGAATTTCCAGTTGAACAGAAGTGTGGTACCAGTGTTACATTTGTCTTCCTGACAGAAACAATAGTTGACTGTACGACCATATTGCGTCACAAACTGTTTGCAGCCACTGTAGCTTTCCACCTTGTCTATTCCTAAGAAAAGTAAACATCTCATATTATGCATTGCTTTAAAACTTCATGCTTTCGACAACAGTAATAAAATGGCAATCAAAACACAATGAGACATCTATATGAAACACAGAAATAGAGTCCATAAACTTGCTCATATATAGGATTAAACATATGGCATTTAGTTTGTTTTTGAAATTAACTTTTGAAGAGAACATAAAACCTCAAATTGCTTTTGAAAAAAACGAAGAATTTAATAGATCATAAAACTAGAATGAGGAAACCAGTTGGGTTGCAGCATTTCTCTTGAAAACAAGCAAAAGATTCAGCATGCATGTCGTTAAGAAAGAAAACTATAGAAGGATTTGATTTCATATTACCTTTCACACACTGATTACAAAAGATTCAGCATGCATGTAGTTAAGAAAGAAAACTATAGAAGGATTTGATTTCATATTACCTTTCACACACTGATTACAAAAGATTCAGCATGCATGTAGTTAAGAAAGAAAACTATAGAAGGATTTGATTTCATATTACCTTTCACACACTGATTACAAAAGATTCAGCATGCATGTAGTTAAGAAAGAAAACTATAGAAGGATTTGATTTCATATTACCTTTCACACATTGATTACAAAAGATTCAGCATGCATGTAGTTAAGAAAGAAAACTATAGAAGGATTTGATTTCATATTACCTTTCACACACTGATTACAAAAGCTTTGCCTGACATTTAGATAAGGCATTCTCGCTTACTTGTTGTAATTTATAATTTTTCTTGCACTTAATTTGTTTGAAAACAATTTCATTTCAACATTCACCAATGTACTAACATCCAGGCATTTAATTGATATGACTTCTATACTACTAAATCTTACTTTTTGACCATGTATACTGTATGCTTTATGTATTACCTTTAAATCAGTAACATCAAATTAAAGCAATTTTCTCAAAATCTGCACTAAGTAAACAAAATTTCTGGTAAATGGGTATTAAGATTTAGAGTTCTTATAATCCAGCCTCCAAACAAAGGAAGTTAGTAAGAAAGGGTCAACAAAAAATGCAAAGCATGACATTATCCCTAGTTGATTGATTTTTTCAAGTTTGGTTTGGCATCATTCAGAAATAAAACAATAACCTTTGTTAGAGAAATATATTATTGAATTATATATCATAGAATATAATTTCTTATGGGATATATATATAAATATGAGGATTACTTTTAAAATTGGAAAACTTTGCAAATGATGAATGCTATTTTTTGACATTTAATGTAAAAAAAATATTCAAAATGAAAACTAAGGCAGTACAAATGCACAAAAAAATTCTAGCTTGTGCAAAGTTTACATAGTTTAAGACGAGATAGCTCAAGATTAATTTTGTCGCCATGCACTGGAAACAATGTTTGTAATTTTGCCTATCTGTTTCTTTTTGTTTCCATGGTAACAGGAAAAAAATGAGGGAACTTTTCCCCTGGGAGAAGCACCACTAAAGTAATTGGATAATCAGCAGACAAAGTTTCAGGTAGTTTTCTTGGATGGTTTTGACATTTTACTCTAGAAACCAAAAACATTGAAGTGTTGCCAGTTTCAAAGGTAACCAAAAAAGAATTATAACCAATGAGAATTTCCTGAAAGTAAAAGACATAATCGGAACGCTATTTTGAGAGATGTAAAAAGTTTTAGGTAGTATTTTTGAACTGTTTTTGAATCTTGCTTAATACAAATGAAAGTTGATTTGTGGCCTGTCTGTTTCCATGGTAACAGACAAAAGAATTTGAATGGAAAATGGAGAAATAGCAAAGACACTACTGGAGTACTTAGTTTCTGATAACTATCCCAAGATTTGAGTAGTTCTCTTGAATAATTTAGAAGTCTGGTTCGGAATATCACCATGCATTGACAGAACCCAATACTATATTACACACACTAGCAATATAGAGTATTTAGCAGATCTACAGGAACAAATGAATGCTGGGAGAAATCAATTTAGGTAATATGCTAAATATTGTCCTACATGTATAACTTGTTTGCACTCTTTATATTTCTGTAAACTCAAGGTCTTCTATTTCCTGCATGACTGACTTTTATTATACAATATTCAAATATGATGATGTGATCTTTGAATTTGTAATTGTTTCTCTTCATCAATGTTGTTCCTCATTTACTTTTGCCATTATCACCCACCTAGAGAGGGCTAATTTTTAACAACACAATGAAGTTTCATTACTCCTTACTGCAAAAGTGTCAGGTAAGGCAAGAACAAATGTTATAATGTTTGAAGATATACATTTTGGTCAAAGTATAAAAGTTTTCCAATATACATATGTGACTGTATATCCTAAATCACCAAATACATGTTTCCGCTAAATCCTCACCTCAAATTCAATACTGTTTATATAGAAAGTAAAGAAAAATATTACTCACCATCAGATAAACTTTCCAAAAGATATGTATAATCTGTTTGTGAATAGCACTGTCGCCTTGCATTTTGGTAACCTTAAATAACAACACAATGTTTGATTAGGTAAGTACAAATCAGACAGAGCTGATCAAACTTGTACATTTGTAGTATAGTTTAAAGGGTACTATATGTGACAAGAACTTCAACCCTTCTTACCTGTAGTAGTAACACTTTAACCTAATTGTTTGGATGGTATACAATGGGACTCCTTTATGTTGTTCAGTTAGGAAACCAATGTATACTTAATGGAGACCCAGCCGTAAAATTACCCCGACTGTTGACAGGGTGATAAACCCAGTAAACTGACCAAATCCATTTTGACATCATAATATCTTGTCTACAAAAGAAATGAACAAATGATAGTTCTTGTGCTTCATTTTTGAGGTTTCCATCAAACAAAGAGCTTTAATTCACCAACTGAGGAAATCATTCCTTCATCAAAAAACAAATGTTCAATAAGTATTAACTGTAATCGGACCCATTACATAAGTCCTCCAAACTACCCCCTCCGTCGAGCATGCTTCTTCATAAAGTACTTCAACATAGGGAAGGAATGTCTGTGGAACATTAACTGTGAAATATAACAAACTGACCTGGACACTGGGAGGGAACACTGAAGTACACCTCTAATAAAGAAACTTTCCGCTAACCGCTAGTCAGCCATTTTGTTCAATCAGAAAACGGAAATCACCATCATGTTTAAAATGTCAACTGCACCTACTTACCAAATTACCTTAAAATCACACTATATCTAAATTTTGATTAATCAGAAATATCCGTTTGGCAGAAATTTTGAGGACAACATCATTTTTTACTTTGACATTATCATAGAAAAAGTCATATAGTTATTCTTTCCACTAATTCTAATCTTGTTCTGCTGTATAGATCAGAAGTTATAAGTGAACAGGTATCAGCCAATCAGGAGTCAGAAAATTGTTGCCATCTAATCGAATCAGAAAACAGAATTTGTTGGTACATTTAGAAGCCATCAGCATTAATACCTCTGGTTCTAATGATGATCCAATTTATGATTTGGAGAAAAGTATGGTGGAGGAAGAAGAAAGTAAGAATCCAGGAAAATTTGATATCCATTTGCTCCCACCCTCATCAAAATTAAACTTCCACATGTAAAGCATGAATTCTTTTGGCTATGTGCCATCAGTTAAATACAATGAAACAGTATGTGGAGTACATTGAAAGAGTTTGGAAAGCATAAAAAGAATACAGCCTGGGCAATATACAAAAACGTATTGAGCAGTATACGAAAATAGCTTGAGAGAATACTGAAGTAAGGGTTTTCTGGATCAATGTATGTTGATGGTTGGTGGTCATGTTGGCGAGGTTTCTTTATTGACAGATGACAGCAAAAAGAACATGTTTGTAAAGTAGTCCTAGGTCAAAGTTCAGAGAATAACCAATCAGAATTGTATGAGGTCTGAGACACCCAATCAGAGGCTTTCAAAGTGGTAACGCGATGGTATGTGAACAAAAAACCACAGCTATAAAATTTATCACCTGGCATATCAGTTGTGAAACAGACATGGTTATGGGAGGAACTGAAATAAAAACCTAGAAAGTACTATGAAACAATTTGGGCAATACATCTTATGGAACAATTTGAGGAAGTAATTCAACCAATTTTCTTCTATCAAATAGTTTTGAGTTTGAATGGAAAATGATTAATGATCTATCACACTTACTGTTATCAAATTCCTTTGAGCAGACATAACATCCTGATCTGGTGTTGATTGCTAACTGGTCAGGATCAAATGGTTCTATTGGACAAAAGTTGCAGTCATAACAGGAAACCCCACCCTCCTCCTGACTATAGTCATTGCCTCCACTTCCTGGAAACACTCCCCCAGGGATCACATTCTTTTGATTCCAGTACACCTGGAACTCATTCAAGGAGCCATCATTCCAACCTACAAAAAAATTGTTGCTTTAGTCTGTGATCATTAAAACCAGTACTTGACAATTACAGCCACTAGTGTTTTATCTTTTCAAAAGTTTCTTGGCATATCATGATCAGAATCAAAGTAATCCTTTGTCTTTATAGTTATATCACTGCCTTGTAGTTATAACACTGCCTATATAGTAATAACACTGCCTATATAGTTATGTCACTGCCTTGTAGTTATAACACTGCCTATATAGTAATAACACTGCCTATATAGTTATAACACTGCCTATATAGTTATATCTCTGCCTATATAGTTATATCACTGCCTTGTAGTTATAACACTGCCTATATAGTAATAACACTGCCTATATAGTTATATCATTGCCTATATAGTTATATCACTGCCTAAATAGATATGTCACTGCCTATATAGTTATATCACTGCCTTGTATTTATAACACTGCCTATATAGTAATAACACTGCCTATATAGTTATATCACTGCCTTGTATTTATAACACTGCCTATATAGTAATAACACTGCCTATATAGTTATATCACTGCCTTGTAGTTATAACACTGCCTATATAGTTATATCACTGCCTTGTAGTTATAACACTGCCTATATAGTAATAACACTGCCTATATAGTTATATCACTGCCTTGTAGTTATAACACTGCCTATATAGTAATAACACTGCCTATATAGTTATATCACTGCCTTGTAGTTATAACACTGCCTATATAGTAATAACACTGCCTATATAGTTATATCACTGCCTATATAGTTATCCACTGCCTATATAGTTATATCATTGCCTATATAGTTATAGCACTGCCTAAATAGATATGTCACTGCCTATATAGTTATCCACTACCTAAATAGTTATAACACTGCCTATATAGTTATCCACTGCCTATATAGTTATATCACTGCCTATATAGTTATATCACTGCCTATATAGATATGTCACTGCCTATATAGTTATCCACTACCTAAATAGTTATAACACTGCCTATATAGTTATCCACTGCCTATATAGTTATATCATTGCCTATATAGATATGTCACTGCCTATATAGTTATCCACTACTTAAATAGTTATCCACTGCCTATATAGATATGTCACTGCCTATATAGTTATCCACTACCTAATAGTTATAACACTGCCTATATAGTTATCCACTGCCTATATAGTTATATCATTGCCTATATAGATATGTCACTGCCTATATAGTTATCCACTACTTAAATAGTTATCCACTGCCTATATAGTTATATCACTGCCTATATAGTTATAAAACTGCCTATATAGTTATATCACTGCCTATATAATTATATAACTGCCTATATAGTAATAAAACTGCCTATATAGTGCCTATATAGTTATAACACTGCCTATATAGTTATATCACTGCCTATATAGTTATCCACTGCCTATATACTTATATCACTGCCATATAGTTATATCACTGCCTACATAATTATATCACTGCCTATATAGCTATATTATTGCCTATATAGTTATATCACTGCCTACATAGTTATATCACTGCCTATATAGCTATATTATTGCCTATATAGTTATATCACCGCCTATATAATTATATCACTGTCTATATAGTAAAATCATTGCCAATATAATTATATCAATGCCTATATAGTTATCCATTGCCTATATAGTTATCCACTTTCTATATAATCATATCACTGCCTATATAATTACATCACTGCCTTTATAGTTATGTCACTGCGTATATAGTTATATCACTGCCTATATAGTTATATCACTGCCTTTATAGTTATGTCACTGCGTATATAGTTATATCACTGCCTATATAGTTATATCACTGCCTTTATAGTTATATCACTGCCTATATAGTTATATCACTGCCTTTATAGTTATGTCACTGCGTATATAGTTATATCACTGCCTATATAGTTATAACACTGCCTATATAGTTATATCACTGCCTTTATAGATATCCACTGCCTATAAAGTTATAAAACTGCCTATATAGTTACAACACTGCCTATATAGTTATAAAACTGCCTATATAGTTATCCTCTGTCTATCTTCATGTAACATGTATTGTTTATGTACCTCCAAGGTTACCACCAGAAGGATACAAATTCCCTGTATTAGAGTATGGATATTGAGAAATCCTCAGCTTGAACCCCCCAAAGTTCTCCTTTCGACCGTCAGTGACAAACTGGACAGTCAAATGGTTCTGGGTGGTTTTGAATATCTGGATATCTGCCATGTCTGCTGGGGAATTCTTCCTCCCACATATACCAGATGGAGGTATGTTGCGAAACATCTTGGCATTGTCAGCAGTAGGTCCTTTAACAAAACAATAACCACATACAATCAGATATTGTTTATAGACTCGTCACATTTGATAGGATATACATTACAGTTGGAAATGGTCCGTCCAGCAGTAACAGTCTTGTTTTAATCATTGAAACTCTTACGGCCCGCTTTTTAAAAACTAAATTATCTCTTAGTAATGGGATTCATCAAAATTTGGAAAAAGATGCTCTAGACTTGCCAGCAATTAATCCTACAAAAATTAAGTCTCTCAAAGCATCAAGCTTTTTTAAACAAGTATTTGTTTACATCTATTTTCTATCAATTTTATTCTGTGGTTTCAATATTATGTACAAAATCAGATTTTAGAAAATAACTGAACATGTTTATTTACTGTAGTTCGAATTCAATCTCTTTTTATTTGTAGGAAAGTAAAGATCAATTTTAAGGTAGCATAAAAGATGTCAAATCAATTAAAATATCAAATATATGTATTTGTATATAATATAAACATATTACATATAACAGAAAAAACACAGTGTCCAGTGAAATATATATATACTTTGTCATGTTGATAATTCCTGTTAGCATATTTGGATGACACACAATGTTTTGTAGAGGTTAAACTATATATATAGATGTTTATATATATATAAAATCATTTATATTGTAAAGTCTCTGCATTCTTTACACAAGGTCCTTATAACTTTGAATCTCCATGGAGAAAGAAGATTTATAATAAAAACTGATGGTCCAATGTTGGTAAATAGCAGGCTTGTTTAGGTAGCAACTACATTTTAATGACAACACTCTGTTAAGAAGTTGTTTTATTCTGAATTGTCTTACTTACCATTATAAAGTTTTAGATAATCGTAACAGTATTTTGGATAACCCCTTTCATCCATCACAGCATAGCTGTCTATTGCAAGGCTGTCAATCTGAACTTCTATCTGATTGTTTGGACTTGCTTCTATAGATACAATACAGTTCCTGCCATCTTGGTAGGTGGAACCCACGTTTGAATTGACATCTTCAGCATCACGACTGTAGAACTTGTATCTGGTGTTGACATAAGCTGGATTTCTGCAGTACTCTTCATTGAAGGTACAGATAGAACAGTACAGATCTGATTGGACAATAATATCAGCTGAAAATGAAAACACAAATATATGTAGAACTACTTAAACTACTGAATATTGGCTCTGGAAATTCTTTCTCCAAGTTTGCTTTCATAAGTAAAAGTCAACTGAAATATATATTGTATACATTAAATACACAAGTTGTTTGTTTCTAAGGAAGTAAAAGATGTAACGTGCGATACCTGATCGTTTAGGACCTCAACCCACACTACCCATTAAAGTATATACTAGGTAGGTGTGAGATTCTCAATACTCTCAAAATGCTCATGCCTATTTTTTTATTAGGGGTTCTCTAGGGTGCTGTAGATTATATGACCTAATATACCTTGTCTGAATTTAACGAAGCATTTTTTTTTATTGCTTAGAGCTTATATCATATTTTTATAGTCAAACATCTGTATACTCCTGTTTCGAACATGATTACTTTATGCTTTGGGAATGTGAATTTTGCTGACTTTACACAAGCTAAAAAATGTATCAAATCTTGTTTATTGTATCAAGGATTTAAAACATTTATCACTACATGTGTAAAGTTTCTTGATGTTCAAACTTTGGATAAAAATGAGAAAGAAATACATATAAAAAAAATGCTATCTGACATATGAAAAATCTTTTCTGCATATTCAGTACAATTCTAGATATACAGATGTACTTTGTGAAAAATCCTGAATGGGTTTGACAAAGAATACTGTAGCATCATTACATCGGCATTGTCGCCTTAAAGCCAATATGAAGCAAAATAGCCAATAAAAGAATACACATTTTTTTCTCGAAATATTAAATCAGTTGAGAAGGCAAGCTACAAAAATATAAATTAGATCATCTTTGTCAAGCAGATCTTGACTTTCACTTATTTTTCAGAAGTTTGTTTGAGCACAAAGTAATCTGATGCCTATGACCTTAAAAATGGGCCAAGGTACCTTTATGAAAACATGATTCTAGGCCTTTCAGTTAATCAGAAGAGTCATTTGAGCATTTCAACTAATCAAACCCCTGTCACCTAGAATATGAGTCAAGGTTATTTCCTTTAATTTGTGAATGAATTTTCATCCTCGTATTTATGAAATCAAATACCAAGATTCTAGGCTTTTCAGAAATTCCTGGATCATTTCACCAATTTGATTCCTGTGAGTAAAATGTCCGTTCTTTTTGCAAACTTTGCCATGCTTCATCCAAAGAGATTAATTAAAATTTTGTTTCAGAAATTTATCAAATTTGATATCTAGCCTGCCAACTTAAATATGAATTAAAGTCACTTCCTCTGTGAACATTGTCATCTTTCTCAAACTTTTCTCTGGAACCTATAAACCAAAAATTATGATTCAAGATTTTTGGTTTTTCAGAAGAAGTTGTTTGAGCATTTTAACTAATGTGACTTTAAATTAAAAATGGCTCAAGGTAGTTTATTTTCACAAACTTTATCAACCTTCATTCCAGGAAGCTTCCAGCTCAATACAGCGACTTTTTGGTCACTTGTTTATAGAACATGAAAAGTCATTTAAAAAAAATATTGATGCTGGACAGACAAACGCTGGCCAGATGAACAGGCTCATTTGACATTTCTATCCTGATGAGCTAATTACCATAATTGCATATCACCAACCTAAAGTTTATGTGTATAAAATGATATAGAAGTGGTCACGAGAAAGTGATTTATTGATTTTTTTGGGGTAATGATGATTACAATCTCTGGTATTGTTACAGGTACTTGATATTTGTTACTCATGCCTGGCCATTAATCGGCTCGTTCATAGTCAGGTCATGTTTTTTAATGTAAGACTTTAGGAGAGTGTAACCTATCACAATATTATTTTCAATTTGTAGGGAGATATATATAACATGATTAAACAGTTATTGATGAAAAACCAACCCCTTTGCCCCTACACCCACATATCCTTGCTAGAATTGTGGCGATGGCATAAATATATATACATATATAATAACACACAGTCAGTTCATTTAAACTGACATTTGTGATATTTTTTAAATGTTTTTGTACCCTACATTCCAACTGAATTAGATTGAAACCTCATTCTCTCATTATAGTTGTCTGCTATCATACATGCCAATGAACACTCATTTGTGAAATACATTGTACGAGCCAGTTTGGAGACACAAGATATTTGGGTCCTGGACTTTCCTGCAGGCCCATTCAAATTTTGAGGACCCACTAGATCTCTGGACATGGTATGAAAATACTTAAAAAAATACTACAAGTCACATAGTGTACACACATGGGGTCAAACGGCTTAATTAATGGCTATAATTCAATCTTCATTATAAGGCTGGCAAATATGATTATAGTATACAACTTATAATATAATTGAAACATTTCTTGATTTCAGGACTTATTGTACCAATGTTTTGATGATTTTGTTGTGATCAATTGTGACAATGAAAGTCCAGCATGTGAATGGCTATTATCATATTCCTCTCACCTCTGGGTAATAATCAGTAGTCATTAGAATATTTCAAAACGCTTTTCCCATGTGACCTTAAATGATAATAAAGGTCATCTACTTGAACAAACTTGGAAGTCTTTTATCTCTGAATATAACATATAAATAATTTGGGGTAAGATTCTTTATCATCTTATCATTATGTTATTTGTACATGTGTTGTTTATGAAGCTATACTTGATTAAATAAGCATGTCCAGAACAATAAAACGACTAAGAGGTAGAATCTGTTATTAAACCATAACAGTATATGAACGTGTAATTTGAAGAATATATATTTAACTATTCTGTCTGAATTTCAGATGAAAAGTCAATGCTATCTCATTATAATTTGACATCTATAACAGTTAACTTTAGGATTTATAATAATAGTACAATATCCACTCTGTCTGTTTAGCCTGTATGAAAATATACTGGTAAATATTATGTCTAGACACCAGGTGGCGACCCTGGACACAACCGGTGTCCAGGTATGACAAATTGTTCTCCCAGGTATATGTATGACTTTATGTTATATCTATAATGAATATTAGACAGAAAGAAATTGCAGTCACAAGGCTACAAAATGATTTTCAGAAGATTTTGGAATCTTTAGATATTGATCAAAATTTACGAAATGTCAGATGCTTCATTTTGAAAATGTAAGAAGGTTATAGTACATAAGGCCATTATTAGGTTGACTTGACAAAATTAAGTTGGTGATACTGACGGAAAACTTTGTCTCTTGTATCCAAGTACCCATTTAAATAAGCATTTAACCCTTTTGTTATGGTGTTTAAATAATTTTTCATCTCAAGTGTCAATTTTCATTTCACTATAACGAAAAATTTTGGAAAGTATGTCATAGTGGCATTATAATGCACTTGTGTTTTCATGTTTGCTAAAATCTGGATAAATTAAAGTTTGAGATTTTTTTTCTCCATGGACATCATATTGTTCATACATGTAACTTACCATTAGCTAACATCAGTGTAAGTGTATAATAGTTATGTAAGTCAGAGGTGATATGTTAATGAAGAATGATAACCATTGTTTAACTTAAGTTTATTAACAGATACAGAATCTTATAACATCCTCTTCATTGGACTCAAAAACATGACATAAAAATTAAAATGAAAGTGAATGTGATGTTACTTGTTAATGTATATGAGATCTATAATTATAGAGGAGTTCCTGATTTTGCCAATATCAATCCAGTCTGTTTTTTAATATATTTACGGTCGGCGATAACACATTTTCCAGAAGACTATTCCAAACTTTTTGGCAAAGGAAAATGTTCTTGCAAAGATCTAATCTGGAATGTTTACCTTATCAATCCTAATTAAACTGAAGTTAAGATTGCAAGTAAATTTGCAAATTGATATTTTTTCCCGCTTGTAACAATGTCAACATATTGTATATAACACCAAAAAATTTTCAGAATGCATTCAGATTGAATACAAAATCTGAAAGTCCACCATTATGTGCTTTTTATACACAATTATAAATCTATGCTTATATAGTATCTATCATAAACCTTAATTGTGGCCAGGTCACTGCATTTTTTTTGTTTTTGCGAAGTACACAGCCTGCAGTGGGAGACAGTCCTTTAGCCCTCTTAACATTTGAACTGGGAGATCTTGAGGTATAGTGACCATACATTGTCATATATAATACTGGTGACCTAAATTAAAATTCTTTTCACCAAACTCACATTGTTACTAACATACCCTATAGTTATTTGTAACATCTAAATTTGAAGCTGTCTATATATGTTTATTAATGTTCCGCATAATTTGGTTTGTATGTTATTTTCCATGAACTATTACTTCGTAAAGCAGACATTTGTATTCAACTTCTTACCATAGATAAACAACAATTAACTTTTAACTCACTGGTATCTATGACAGCTTGTTGCTATGCATTATTTACAGGTACAGTTATGAAGATGATAATCTGAAGTAAATTAATAAAAAAAACTGTTAATTATCACAAAACCTAGAAAATCAATTGGAATCTAAACCTGCTGTGACAACCCTTTTCAAAGCAGAGACAACTCCTATTTTTGCAGTTACACATGCTTGCATGTTGTAAATACTTTGCAAGCACTTTCTCCCAGATCCATATATAGAATAATAATTTACTGGTTGAAAATCCTACCAGCAGTTTAGGAGCTCGACACAAGTACTAGTTTGAACAATGCTGGTTTTAATGGCAAATTATAAACTTTTAAGGGCTGTGAATTAACCCCATGAAACACTTCAAAGAAACAAAAAGATTTTGTTATTGATGGTACATGTTTTATACACTTGCAGTTACGTTTTTATAATCTCAATATTCACAGTCAATTTCCAATGTCCAGCTTGACCATTTCTTTGGTTTGTGAAACCCCTCTCAAATTTAGTGCTGATAATATCATATGATAGTTTTGAAAATGAGGCAGTTCATTACGTAAACATGAACACATGATGGTGGCAAAAATGACTGCTTCAGTAGTGACACAGTAAAACCCATTTTCAGCACTGAATTTTGTTATGGATATGGCAAATATTATTTAATTACTCTAAGTAAATTCATAATTATGAAATAAGTAACATTTAATTGCCAACTGATTCAGACAGGAAGTCATTTTTGTTTACAGGAGACAGTGTTTTGTGCACATGCCATATCATATATGACATAAAAAATGTTTAACTGTGATGTCGCTTTAAAGGGTTGTAACTCCATGAAACAAATTTTTTAATTGCTTTATTTACTCCCATTTGTACCTCATGGTAGAACTGCCAAATTACACTTTCATAGAATTAAATTACAATTGAATTACAAGATGGAAGGACTAACCGAAAGAATGGGAGTAAACCCTTTGGATCATCTTCATGTTTATGGGGAATATTCCTAGAATAAAAATGAAATTCAGCATTCATATCTAACATAGATTTATTCCAAGAACAACAGCAGTTTATACTGACAAGTCTATAGCCAGGCACAATCATGGACCTATATTAAATCCATAAACAACTTCCAAACATATATATGCAAATCAGTAACTTATTCAAATATTTGAATACAATATGAAACATATCTCAGTCTGCGTGGGTTTCCCCAGGCCTAGTAAATGTAATTCCCTCCTGGTTTGTTGAGTGGCTAACATACATTATTTATATTTTAATATCACATACTTAATGGCAGTATATTCACTAAAAAGAGGGAGTCCAATATGGCAAGTTCTTTTTATCTGAATTAAATTGCATGGGGAATATTCCTAGAATAATAATGATAATAATAATAAACTTCCTTGATGGTGTCTTTCACCCTTACCTCTCTGCCTTCAGAGCCGGATATGGATGTCAGACGGCATTATTGAGAGTCGTTGAGGATTGGAAAATGGCACTAGACCAGAATAAGTAAGTGATATGCATACTTATGGATCTCTCAAAGGCTTTTGACTGCTTGCCTCATGACCTACTAACTCTCAAACTCAAAAACTATGGACTTTCAAATTCGCCCTCAGAACTTATTTTGAACTATCTCAAAAACAGAAAACAAAAGGTTAAATTAGGAAATATTGAAAGCACCTTTCAGGAACTATACAAAGGAGTACCACAAGGATCAATATTAAGGCCAATTCTTTTCAACACTTTCATCAATGATATTTTCCACTCTATACAACACTGCAAATTATACAACTATGCCGACGACAACACTATTAGCAAAGCACACACCTCATTAGAAACAGTCAAAACATCACTACAAACAGACTGCAACTCACTCATACACTGGTTCGCAAACAATCACATGAAAGCTAACCCAAATAAATTTCAAGCCATGGCAGTAGGTAATAAAACACAAAACGAAAATATCACTTTCCAAGAAGGCAACAATACCATTAAATGTGAACCAGAGGTTAAACTGCTAGGAGTTACACTTGACTTTAAACTAAACTTCCACACACATGTATCCAACATCTGCAAAAAAGCATCCAAACAACTCAATACACTCAAACGCATAGGAAAACACTTAAACAGACTGGGCAGACTCACTATATATCATTCTTTCATTCTTTCGAACTTTAATTTCTGCCCACTTACATGGCACTTCTGTGGTGAAACTAATACACGAAAAATGGAAAAAATTCAAGAAAGGGCTCTGAAATTCATCTATGACGACCACGAAAATACATACAAAAATTTATTAGCCCATTCAAAATTACCCTCTCTCAAAATTAGGCGCCTTCGAAATTTTGCAATAGAAGTTTTCAAAATTAGCAACAATCAAACACCAACATATCTGCATGACCTCATAAACATAACAGAAAAATCATATACATTTAGATACCATAATACAGCGGAAATACCACAGGTTAGGACCACAAAATACGGCAAACACTCATTTAGATCAGAAGCACCTAAAATTTGGAACACCCTACAAGACCATTTCAGAACAACAACCACACTTACACAATTTAAGACACTAATTAACAGCTGGTATGGGCCAAAATGTAAATGCAACACATGCACACATGATTACAGACACACATAGAACACCTATACAATCAGACACATTTTAACAATACTATATTTTAATATATCACCTGCTAAGTGTTAAAGTTTTTTATCCGAGTAGTTCTAAACTTATATCTTATCTATTATGTCATTGTGTATTTAATGTGTAACTGTATGCATGTGTCGGATGAAATAGCTCAAAAGAGCTAATGTTTGTACTGTTTTTAATACCGACAATAAATAAAACTTTATTATTATTATTATTATGCATTGTTGACATGTATCCACCCAAAGGTGAGCCGCTATCAGGGTTCAGATGTAAAGTTTTTAGTGAACTACCTGGATAACTCCACCTCTCTCAAAGGTAATTAGAAATTAAGACAGAAGTGGTGACCTGAGTGAAGTGACATATACCATAACAAAATCCTAAAATCTTAAACAGGTACGAAGGAATTAAGATAGGTGATGTCAGGTTAAGAGACATATCCTTTGATCATTTAAATTTTTATACATAACAAAATCCTAAAATCTTAAACAGGTACGAAGGAATTAAGATAGGTGATGTCAGGTTAAGAGACATATCCTTTGATCATTTAAATTTTTATACATAACAAAATCCTAAAATCTTAAACAGGTACGAAGGAATTAAGATAGGTGATGTCAGGTTAAGAGACATATCCTTTGATCATTTAAATTTTTATACATAACAAAATCCTAAACCGGTACTCAGGAATTGAGACAGTTTTTAATGAAAAGTTTAGAGACATGTACTCGAAACAAAATCCCAAACAAGTACTCAGGAATTGAGAAAAGTGGTGACGACCTAGTGAAGTTTAATTACCGTTACATAATTAATAGTAAATATTGTTCAAATTTGTAGAGAGGAGAAACAATTAAGGTTTAAGTCATGTTATGTCTAAGATCCCTTTTCACCAGGAAGAACTGCTAGATAGAGAAATTGTCTGGCTCACTGAGTCTACCTGTTCCAGTTCAGTACAGGATACCTACAGACAGGTGTAACTTCAAAACGAACGTACAAAATTGCTGATACGGAACGGTTACAGCCGCTGATCTACAAAATAAGCCTTGATTATATAAATCATGCTAAAAATCAGTCTTCAGAAATATCGGAAAATACTTTTGTTTCGTTACCTTTCAAGTTGGATATCCAGGTAAGTAAAATGAAAACAAACAGCACTGTGGCATCCATTTTTAAACTATGACGTCACCGGAAGTACACAGGTAATTTGTTGACAGGGGATCTAGATCTACGGCGGACATGTGGAAAGACTAATAAATTCTTGTAGTTAATGTTTAAAGAAAACACATGTACAGAGTGATATAAAGAAACGTTTCGTGTTCGATTAAATGAAATGAATTAAACAACATTTTTGAGATTATTTATAGTTAAATGGTTGTGTGTATCTTTTACAGTATATATTTCAACACATTTTGAAACCTTTTTGATATAAGAATAAATTCAACCAATATGAAGTCGACCCTACGTGTAAGCTTTGTAGGACAGCTCCACAGACACGGCAGCACTTTTTGGCAGAATGCCCATCTCTAACCAGTATCAGACAATGTGGTGAAGGTACATTTGTACATTTTGAACTTTTTATAGTAAAAACGTACGACGCTGGAAATCCAATTCTAGTGGTGCCTCGACAAGTCGACGGGGGAACTTCAAGATACAAGAAACAAGATGGCTCACATTTTTCAAAGAAAAGTTTCCCGTCCCTCTAGGAGCTAGTCTCTTGGGTAGGATCAAAAATGGGGTGTGGGTTTATGTTATTTCCCCTCAATGAAAGTCTCGGTTATTGTAATATTCCTGTTAATTTTTTCGAATCTTTCTTGCCTCTTTTACATCTTTATGACAACAGTAAAACATCGATCTTAACCATATCAATCTTTATATATATATATATATTTCGTAAATATGAAAATGAAATATTATGAATGCAATTGCCTGTAGATGGCCCCAAGGCTTGAAAACGTCAGTGATTGTGATTTGGAATTTTAATTTTCATGGTAATATTTTGTTTCCAGTTAATTGTCAGTTGTAAGTACGATACACAAAGCGTATATATGATGATTAATGAAGTAATAACGACAGTACGAACAAGTGAATTGTCAAATTTTCGAGGCAATCTGCCCATTGATCAGGACAAAAATAATATATAAATTACATTCCATAAAGTAGTCAGAAATAACAGACGAACAATGGTTTGAATATACTGGATCAATTTTTTATTTTGTTTTTCATAATCTACAATATGAATTAATTTCAAATAATTGTGTCACTACTCAAGTCTGCACTAAAAGCAAGCCATTCTCGGCCCAAGACGGCTATCAAAAACAGGGACGTGGACGTGTAATAGATATATACGCCTCTGTTCAAATACACAAGAGCCTGGCAGCTTCAAGATGCATACAAAGTATTTTGTTTTTAAAAGGAATGTCCAAAGGTTGGCAGATTACCAAATGATTTTGTCTGAAAGTAATGATGAAATGGAACTTTTCAAGAAATTAATGAAAATTGAAGTATTTATTATATATTGTTTTAATGAAAACCTATTCCCATAAGTTTACTGTGGGAGAACGTGTGTAATAGGGTCGGTTTTAGCTAATTTTGGCGCCGTTGTTTAGCGTCGCGTCGTTTGAATTTTCGCGTCGTCTGTTATCGTTAAGATGTATGTATATATGTTGCGTCTATATGTCCAGTTTACCTATGTGACGTAGTGTGTCTACGTATGTCCAGTTATTGTATCGTTTTCATTCTTTGGTCTTTGTCTGTATTTGGCGGGTTGTTTAGTGGACAAAGGGGACGTTGACAAGTACGGACGTTTCAAACCTCCGTTCGACATTTGAGGCGTTTGTCCCGTAAATTGTAAGTTATATTTTTATATATTGCTTTGAAAGATCGGTAATTGTGTTATATATCTTGTGTAACATCATTTGTAATGATGTTGATAATTATTTATCAAAATCCGCGTGTATTGTTTACGCCAATAATATCGTCGATCTTGTGTAGTTTTATGCAAAACAAATATTCAATGACCCGTACTGTTTAATTACTTATATATGCGTTGTTTTTATTACAGTTGATCGTCTACGATCCTGATGATATTCATGTGATTAATGAGCCCTATGTTACTTTAGGACCCTTGACCCATTGTTGGGGTAGGTTTTACCTCTGCATATTGTTTGTAGCATAACGTTCTATTAAATGCAGTTCAATAATGTATAACGTACGTGGCTATAGTGCATCGCTATATTCCTTTTTTTTATATATATTTACAAAGTATTACCCGTTTGTATCCATATACTACAAGTAGATATACATTGTGTATAGTAAACTCCCTTTTGAGATAATGACAGCTGTGATATGATCTATAATGTACATTATGTGTGATATTTAATGTATTGATATGTATTATAAAGTATCGTGCTTATGTGCTTTATGTGTGCTATGTTGTAGGGTTTTTATAATTAGATAAACCGAATAAACAACTGGAACCGGAACCGGTGTTCGCCCTCGTTATTTCAACACCTATCAAATTTACACGTGTCTATTTATTTCATGATAGTAAATTAACTCGATACCTAATTTGCCATACATATAATCAAAAGGACTTTGTTGAATCACTGAATTGGAATCTATATCCGTGGTTAAATATTACTTTTGCTGGTCAATTGTGACAGGACCATTCTTCATATGATATTTCTTCACGTTTTAACGTCTACAGATGTTGATCTATTAACAATTGGAATGACATATAATGCTAATCATGTGTATTGTATGATGTAACCATGAGTGTCCACGATAACGAATGTCTAGGTCGCATATTGTGTGTCGCTCCTTTGTAATCTTCCGGATTTGTGATTGGTGAGTTACGAATGTCGAGGTCGCATATTGTGTGTCGCTCCTTTGTAATCTTCCGGGTCTGTGATGGGTGAGTTACGAATGTCGAGGTCGCATATTGGATGTCGCTCCTTTGTAATCTTCAGAGTATCAATCTGTGATTGGTGCGTTTTTTAGTCCGCTCTAAACTCATCAAATTGCTTTGCATGTGGCCTACAATTTTGCCATAAAATGTTCCTGGGAGCGGAAGTGATCGCAACTCCCTGTTTTTTGTCGAAGCAAGACATTTTACTCCGATTGTCTCCTGTTGCCACACTTGTGCGCAAACATTACTGCGTATATATGAGTAGTATAAACAAGTGATTGGACCACTCTTCCAGACTGCCATCCTTCCACCCCTAAAAACTGCGGCAAGGTTTCGCGGAAAGTCATTCTTGCCAAACATAAGTACGGAAAAAAGTCAGTGACAACTTTCCAGATTTGTGTTTGCTGATATTATATCAGAACATTTTCCTACAGTTAATCGAAGCACGTGAGACATAAATATTTAAAAAAGCACAAGACATTCTACTCTCAAAATCCTTTAAGTCATTTTTCTTAAATGCTTTTACTTCTTACTGAATATCCACATAGTTCTCTTGTTGACACACACATAAGTACACATTGTACACGCATCATTGTGTGTAAATACCCCTATCACAGAATTTTAAAGCTCCGAAACTGACCAGTCTGAATAATAAACAAATCTTATCAATAACATTTGTAAAATTAAAATTCATGTTATATAAAAAGTAATTTTATAACAGCAACAGCTGTTGTGTTTCGAAGGATTCTGACTATCTTACAACAATTTTATTCTGTTTTGGTCGCGAACCGATGATCAGATTTCCTTGACAACTTTGCTTTCCATCATATTTACAATGGCGCCACAATACGCATCTACCTTTCCTGCCAATCTTATGAGGATTAACTCTACAACACAAGTCTAGAGAGATTCCGCGTAGTGGCGGCCTCTTGCATGGATTGCTTGTATTTGTTGGCGTTCTGAGTATCGGTCCGCGACTAATTAAAACAAAACAAAATAGCGGATATATAGTCAGATCGCATCATTCATCAGTTCGTTGTTCATGTCTGTCGGGCACTGCGTTAGCATCTAGATTTATCGATCTCCAGATTGCGGTTAAGAAGATATGATATTTTTATTTTTGTAACGTTGGTTTAGAACATATTGTTAGTCTGATTGTATTACAGTGGTTTAGAAGATTTGTTGTTTGTTTTTATTACAGTGGTTTCGATGAGTTGTTGTTGGTTTCTATCACAACGGGATACGATAAAAAAGAGCTCTAGTAGACTGGGATGGAATGGGAAGCCAGCTTTACATAAATTAAAAGTGCAATGTCGACCACGTGTTTTATAAAACTATTTAAGATATCTGATATGCTATTATATGTTTATCATAATATATGGTGTTTTAAGTAGTTTAGTGTAATGTTGCCTACATAATACATATCCTAAATATTAAACCAAGAACACTCAGTTGCCCTTTGATTGCTGCGTTCATTATTGGGTCGATTAGATCCAGATCATCAGGGAAGCGAGACAATGCTCGTCATTCCCGTCATTCTTATGATACTTCTCTATATTTCGCAGAGTTTATCATTGTTCTATAGCCCTGCATGACAACAAAACTGTTGTATCACGTCGCCACTTTCATTAGTCCCATGTTACGACACAAAGATGATGATGCTTTTGTTTACAGTTTCAGAATGAATATTACAAATATTCCACACCATGGGACGAATTTATTTTACTTTATTATTGCTGCTCCACGAAGGTCTCGAACCCGTGACCCAGTAGTGGCTAGTGCTAAGACAGTCAGACGGCTTGACCACTTGACCACCAATAGAACAAAGTGAAGATTTACGAGAATGAATCACTTATGTAACGAAAACACGATACTAAGGTGAATAGACAATAATAATTTCTCTGAAAAACAAAGTCCATATACATTTACGGCAATATGATCGTCTTCCGAGAGACTTAATCAACGAGCAATATATCTCGATATACTTTTTGAACGACTGATATGAAATGATGAGAATGATTTTAATATGTTCCACCCATTTACAAGTAGTCCCAAATGTTTATGGCAGGTAACTTGTAGAAAGTACATGATTGATGTACTTAAATCCGTGATAAAAAGAGGAATTAATTTGTATTATTTTTGTCTTTTTAAATAAATTTGGAAATAAACAATACATTTGTCTTTCTACTTTAAGACTTTAAGTGACATTCCCACCAAATTTCTAAATGATAGAAAAAATCCTCTCTGACAACTGAAAGTATATTCTGTCAATCCAAGCAATTTGGACATTTCTTGGTAATGTTTCTAACCAGTCATAATCTGTTTGTTCCCTTTGACATACCTCACACATTCAGCTTAATATCATTACGTTATTTGTTTTTGTAACTATAAACTTCATTTACTTTTAATAACGATTGCGAAACGAGTTATTTCAACTTATACTAATCACTCTTGTTGGCGCGGATGTAAGCGCTCGAGTGGTCTTATTGTGGGAGGAAACCGGAGTACTCGGGGAAAACCCACGTGGTCGGGCAGGTGACCTTTCCTTTTCACGTCCGTTTCAGGAGTCGAGCCCCGAACGACTAAGTAAAAGGCGAGTGCGTTACCACTGCGCCACCCGACCATCCATATTCATTTTTATGTATTGGCATGCTTTAGATATCTGTTTACCATTTTCATTACCAGCTATTTTACGCGTGATCCTTATTCTATTAATGAAAATTAACCAAAAGTTGTCAAACGTGTGAACCCGCCCCCTCCCATTAATTAATTCTCCATTTTCTATAAAGTATTCAAAAATAAATCTTACTAAAGCATGACACATGATAAAGGTATTGTTTTTATGTGCATTAAGGCAGAAAATTAAGTTCACCTTTAATATAATTAGCAATTAATGAGCTTAATTACCATGACCTACTTTTCAACAATGGAATATTTTTTTCAATCAATTTTACTAATGAATGTTTTGATATGGATTATTACATGAAAATTAAGAAGAAAAAATCCAAAAAATATAATGTAGGTTTGTCATAATGGAGCTGTTTATGAATTTTACCCCCCACTTTACCCCCCCCCCCCCCATAACTAATGAATGGCTTAGATCTGACCTTAATTTTATGTCATATCATGACCGCCTAACCCAAAGGAATTCCTACACAAGAAATAAAAAATATCGGTCATGGCCGCCAGAAGGCCCAAATTGGCACTCCTCCTTTATTATAATTTTGCCTTTCCACTAACATTTGTCATAAATGTCTTTTAATATGTATTCTTAACATCAACACGAATGACATCAAATGGAAAAAAGGTAACTTTATAGTTTGTAATCGATCAAGACGTCAACAAACCAGGAAGTCCAACAAGGGCATACCATTAATCAATCTGGATCACATTCCTTGAATTTTAGATCAGGATTATTTCACTATTCCCGATTACCCCTGAAAGAGGACACCGATTCCCTTAAATAGATAAGATTCAAGACTTTAACATCCGGGTTTCAAGCATTCTCCGTTATGAATACATTATATTCTTCGGAGTATAGCATACCCCAAGGTTCAAAATACAAGGGGAACACTGATTAATATTTCCGAAAAATGTAAAAATAGCATAAATGAAGTCATTGATCCCCTGTTGTTAGTTGCGAAAATAATTATTAAATCGGCAGGCCTAAGAAGGTATAAGAAGTACATAGCAAATATTTAATTGGAGCCATTTTTCAAATCTGTCATTTCTGGTTGCTAAGCAACTTTGAGCTCGTAAAAGCAGATGAAAGTTTAGCAATTTTTTCATTAAAGTTTTTCTTATTTTCTCACCAATGATTTTATCAAATTTTAATGAAAGACGATTGACGATTGTTTGAAGGAAAAAACGATAGCTCCATCAAATAACAAGGAATGACTGTTATTGATAAAAATATAAGAATAAATTGGAACAATGAATACGTACAGAAACATTGAGCTTTTTAAAAAATCACCACCAGAGCAAGGAGTAGTTTAGAAAATTGACTTCCTGACCTGTATACAATTGTTTTGTGCATACGTGTTCAGATTGAACGAAAGACACACAAGTGAATAACACATTTAAATACAAATTTACAGTAAGATAGAGTAGAACCGAACAATGCATCAAACTGCATCATACAGCTGTGTTTCGTCCTTCTAGTCTCATCAGTGATGTTAAGGACTTAAGCCTATGTAGCGAATGATGATAATCCGAAGTGATCGATAAGTCATAATGTAGACGGGGAGATAAAACAGCCCAATAATTATATCAGCTTCCTTATTTTCATATATCACATACTTTTAGAATACCAGAAAGTATAAATGTGTATTCTGAAAAATGCTACGATTCGAATGAATTGAAACATGGCAACAACAGTGTCTACCACTTGCTATATCAAAGACTGTACACAAGACACACAAGGGAATAGCACCATTTAATACAAATTTAGAGTTAGATACAGTGGAGCAAAACAATTAATTGAAATGCTGTGTTTCGTCCCCTCTAGGACTCGCCAGTGATGTTCAGCCGTGGAAGCGACTTAGGAAAATCCAACGTGATTGTACAAGATCTTTCACTCTTGTTTTAGAAGTATGAAATATTACTCGCTAAATATCATGTTTTGTAACCTCTAAAAACAACTAATTCGAGATAAAGAAATACCATAGACATCACCAATATGTTGTGGAACCTCTAATATTTACTCCATTGCAAAAAGATAAATAAATGACACCGTATTCATTCCAATAGTTCTTGAGTTTATTGATTAATTTTTATTCACATTTAAAATTTCTAAAAGCATACAGGTAGTTAGGTTAGTCTAAACAATTGATAAACATATTATCCAGTTTGTTGGTTCTCTGAATCTGTAATCTCACAGTAGTACCCATATTAATCACACGATCCTTCATGTGCGCTAGCTACTCCCCTGAAAATGTAAAATGGCGTATATCAATAATGCAAAGTTTGAACGCTTTATACAAAATAAATTCCTTAAAGATATTTCTTAGAAACCCGAAAAAGACACATAACTGCATTTCGTTTCATGCATTAGAAAGGAATATCATCATTTGTCTTTCTCGCTGAATACATTCACCTTTTTTGTATTACAGATATTTATTTTCTCCTGGAAGACATTGGAGCAGATTACTTTAATAGATGGAAAGAAGAATGCTTCTCAGATATTCATTGTAATCAAAATGAAATGCAGTTTATTGAAGTGACAGGATGACTATACAAAAGAAGACTCAATGTACAGATATCGTATGAGTAAAACATGTATTAACATACTTGCACTCTCTGCTACAATCGTTGATGTACGTTTCCCCATCATCTCCACACACAGGATTGTAATCCATCGTACAGACACACAGGTCATCTTCACACTTTCCATTGTGGAGCAATCGGACATCACTGAAATGTTCAGTAGAATGGAATATAACGATGAAAGGTCTACCCTGAAATTGTTTTCTGTTTAACGAGGCTGTAAGCAAGCTGTATCTAGTAAACACAAATGGAATTGTATACGATAATACAACTCTTGGACTATTTTGAAAATATTCCCATAGCTTAGCAACATTGTAGTCACATAGAGATTTTTTTTTATGAAAATCTATTTATCTACTTAAAAGACATTTAAGTAAAATAAGAACCAGGCGACATGAAGTAAAACAATGAATCAAGCTGCATCGTATATCTGTTTCGACCTTCGAAGAGAATAGAGAAAATCCATATTGGTTGAAAGAAATATCGGAAATCAAACGGGGAGGTACACTAACAGCAGTATTCAATGATTTTCATAATTTTCAAAATGAATGACAGAACGACAAGTACATGTACATATTCTGAACCATGCCACTATTCGATTGGAATTAACGCCCGTCATGTATAAAAGACACATTAGTGAACAACCCATTTCAATACAGATTAGATTACTGGTTACAAAATTACAGAAGAGCCAAATAATAAAGTAAAGTGAATCATACAGTTGTATCGTCCTTTTATGACTCGTCACGATGTTATACTAGGGTAATAAATAAAAATCTAAATTACATTTCAAAAAAACCTTTTATAACATATAATAGCGCCAGAAATTGAATTCACCTTGATCTTCCGTCCTGATTAATTTCAAGTGTTCAAAGTTTTGATATATCGTTGTTGTGATTAAAACAGATTTCTCGAAGATTCTTAAGGGGTTTGTTATAAGTTCAACAACCAGATTTCGGTGACCATGAGTACATTTGACTTACTTGCACTTCCTCATACAATCGTTTCCGTAAGTTACACCGTCTGCACCACATACGGGTTTGTGAATCATTTGACATGCGCATGCTTTTTTGGGAACTGAATTGGTCTCATCTGCCATAATAGCAGAGAAGCCAATCACCACTAGGAGAACTAATGTCAGCTTCATGATTAGTTGGTGTCTTCTAGGATGTACCTGCAAACATTAAAATGTAATACATTCGAGATAATTGAATTAAATGTTCAATAACAGATCTTTTTGATAACATTCCAGCACAAACTGTTGTTTGAATTAAGAAAGTAACATCGAGTTGATATTCATTGAGTGAAGTATGTGTTAGTGAATGTAACTGCAGACAATATTGTACAGTTGTACATACCAAAAGTGATATTCTTCAGAGAGCTGGAGTATGGTTACTGGCTATTGTGAACCTGCACTATATATAGGCAATGTGTGTAGGTCATCATTAATTAAGACAAGGTGAATGTACATGGTCACTGGTCATGCATGTAACATGTTGTCAAATGCCTCAAGCTTGTAAAATTATTGTTTATCAGAAGCATGTTTAGGTCCGAATGGCATGTAGTCATTTTGGGATATTTTCAGATCGAGGATATGACGTTAATCAGGACACAATTATCAAATTTAAGTTCGATGATTAACAGAAGTAGGTCATGTAGGGAAAAAATCTTAATATACCATAGGAAAATTTCTTATTGTTAATTGTTATACACTTCAGTAAAATTGTCAATTTACATGAACCAGATCCAATGAAGTTGTTGTTTTACAGGATTTACTGTACTCGAAAGAGCCGGGGTCATAAGAAGACAGGTATCCATTCAATATTATACAGAAAAAATGAATGAATGAGCTTTAAGACATATATCAAAGTTGGTTTTCGAACATTTGCTTATGGGTATTTCAAGTGATTTGTATGTCAAAGTTTTGCTGTACGGACAGTTTCAAATTCATGAGCTTGTGATATTAAAGTAACATTTACTTCCCATGGGTTTTCTATTACTATCATTTTATAGATTTTATGGGTATTAATGAGTAAGTTATCTCCTCTTTAACATAGTACATTTTGCTAAACATTTAGTAATAACACCTATCACTTTCATTATATGTTTCTTTTAGATTTCTGCTCACCGCACATAAGAAACACAACTGCATAGCCGCTTTTAATACAAAATGTAGTGTTAGATACAATACAGACAAATAACGAATTAAAAGACACCATACAACTGCTTCGTCCTTCTAGGACTCGACAGTGATATTGATGGGCCTTACTTCTGAAACTTAGGAGGCAACTAAGGAAATTCCAAAGAGATCAAAGGAAATTTCAAATCAAGATAGAAGATGCACTAGCCCCATAATTAAGTAAACTTAGCAATTCATATATAAATGTAATGTCAGTACAACGTCAAGGACATGTGTTACCGTGCCACTATTCCAATGAATCAAACCATGACATGAAGGATTGGGCAAACCTCGTCGGTTAGAAATTCACCAGTGATGCTCACCACATGCAATCTTGATTATTGTATAAAGACACACAAACGAATAACGCCTTCAATACAAATATATAATTAGACACATTACGGTCAAACTATGAAGGTAACGGCACCAATCAGATATTTCATCCTGGTTGGACTCACCAGTGGTGCTACCATATAATTCTATAATTTCCATTTAATCATTTATAATATTGAATGAATTGTGCCACTATTTCAGTTGAGTTTAAAAGTGGCAAACTTAAAATATATCGATCTATTACGATAAATTGATATGACAAATCATTTTGAAATCTCAAAATGTACTGGGTAACTGTTCAACAAATTAATTTATTTTTTGTACCTGTATTGATTATTCAATAATACATATCTCAAAAGAAACGTATGTCCATGATGAAATTGTAATGCAAATTTTCCAAATATATGATTTTCTGTGAATGTCAAAGTGTTTTGGTGGTAGACAGACGAAATACTCTCAATTATTGTTAACCCGTACATTAATTCAATTCATTCATGTGATGTGTTTAATATTTTGACTGTGTTGTACTGAATGATGTATTATCACTAGATTGACCTTTATGTTCTGTTATGTTTCTGTGTGCTGTATTAGTATAATACTATCACATAAGTGTAATATGATTTTTTGTGACATCAGCAGATGAAACAAACTTAGACCTAAAATGAAGGATTCAGTGGTTTCGAAGATATGATATTTTTTGTTGTTTTGTTTTTTTTTTTTTTTTGGCTTGGTAACAGTGGTAAAGTAGATTAGATGTTTTGTTTTGTAAGGAAGGTTAAAACAATTAGATGTTTTGTTGTTAGATGAGTGGTTTATAAAATTAGATGTTTTGTTGTTAGAGAGGTTAAGAAGATTAGATGTTTTGTTTTTGTTAGACTGGTTTAGAAAATTAGATGTTTTGTTTATGTTAGAGTGGTTTAGAAGATTAGATGGTTTGTTGTTAGAGTGGTTTAGAAGATTAGATGCTTTGTTTTTGCTAGAGTGGTTTTGAAGATTAGATGCTTTGTTTTTGTAAGATTGGTGTAGGTGTAGAACAGTAGATATGTTGTGTTTGTTAGAGAGGTTTAGAAGAACAGATATTTGGTGATTTCGAAGATTTGATGTGTTGTTTTTATCGCAACGGGATACCATAGGTATGAAAGTGTCCCAGTATATTGAAAGAGTATAGCAAGTCAATTTAAAATTAATTCCAAAGTGCAATGTCGATCTTATGTTCCACAAAATTATTTACGATATTTAATATATCATAATCATATATAACATGATGTCTTCCGAACGACCAAAATTCTTTCCCGCCTGTTCTTTCAATCAGAGAGCAATATATCTAGATCTCTTTTATGAAAGAGCTCTATGTAATGATGAGAATGATTGTGATATGATCCATCCACTTACCACTAAAATTAGAGTCTTAAATGTAAGTGGAAGATATCTTGTAGAAGCATGAATAAACATAGAAGATATACTTAAAAGTCGTGGTAAAATGAAAAATGCATAACATTGAAATTGATTAGAAATATTTCGTCTCTGTAAACAGTTTGATAAATAAACACTACATTTGTCTTTTCTACCGAAACCAAACGCTGTCTTAATCGAAATCTTATGATAACTAGGGTTTTGTGGGTCAATCCAACTAACTACAAATGGAAAAGTTGCAGTAATGCTTTTTTCACATTCAAAATCTGTTTGTTTCCATTTGACATGCCACACACATTCAGCTTATCATCATTAAGCTGGGTTCATTTTGTTGTTCTTTTGGCATGCTTTAGAGATCTGTTTACCATTTTCAATAAAAATTATTCTACGTATAATTCTTTTCTATCAATGAAAATCTATTTAGGTAATTAACTATCCTTTTGCCTTACCACTAACATTTGTCATAAATGTCTTGTAATATGTATTCTTAACATTAACACGGATAACACAGCTCATAAAATAGAAAAAAGAATGACTTTATAATTTGTAATCGACCAAGAGGTCAACACACCAGGAAGTCCAACAAGGACATACCTATAATCACACTCCTTGAATTTTAGATCCCAACTATTTCACTATTCCCGGTTATCCCTGAATGAGGACACCGATTCCCTTAAATAGATAAGATTCAAGATTTTAACATCCGGGTTTTAAAGCATTCTCTGCTATGAATACATGTATATTCTTCGAAGTATAGCATACCCCAAGGTTCAAAATACAAGGGGAACACTGATTAATATTTCCGAAAAATGTAAAAATAGCATAAATGAAGTCATTGATCCCCTGTTGTTAGTTGCGAAAATAGTTATTAAATCGGCAGGCCTAAGAAGGTATAAGAAGTACATAGCAATTATTTAATTGGAGCCATTTTTTAAATCTGTCATTTTCTGGTTGCTAAGCAGCTTTGAGCTCGTAAAAGCAGATTAAACTGTAGCATTTGTTTAATATTTTCTTTTTTTCCCCACTATGATTTTATCAAATTGTAATGAAAGACGATTGACGATTATTTGAAGGAAAATACGATAGCCCCATCAAATAACAATAAATGACTGTTATTGACAAAACATATAGGAAGAAATTGTGACAATTAATGCATACCGAAACATTTATATTTTGGCTTTTAAAATGAATTTCTAATATTGACCTTTTAAAACTCACCATCAGAGCAAAGGTTAAGGTTGGGAAATTGACCTCCTGATCTGTTTACATTCTCAATGAAGTTAATTCTATTTCTATTAAATGTTACACATGTAAATCGATCTATGATTCTCATGTTTAATAGTCAGAAGCTTTATACTTAATCTATGAAATGATATATATGTTGCGTCTTCACCGGCAGATGTACGTGCTCGTTTGTACATGCATAGGAACAACTTTGTTAAGATTTAATAAAAGGCAGACATTCGAATAACCCATTTTAATACAACTTTACAGTAAGATAAACAGAACAATGGATTAAACTGCATCATAAAGCTTCGTCCTTCTAGACTCATCAGTGACGTCAAGAGCCTAAGCCTATGTGGCGAATGAGTTTAATTCAAAGTGATCGAAAAGTCATAATCTAGACGGGGAAATAAAGCAGCCCAATAATTATATATATTTCATTATTTTCATGCATCACATACTTTTAGAATATCGGAAAGTATATATGTGTATTCAGAACTATGCTACGATTCGAATGAATTGAAACGTGATATGCAGGTTACGGCAAATCTCGGGGACTACTAGAACTCGCCAGTGATGCTCAGTCGAGGTAGCGACTCAGGAAAATCCGATGTGATCGAAAGAAAAGTTAAAATGTGTACATCTGTACATTATCTTTCACTCTCTTTATTTTTTAGAAGTATCAAATATCACTCGTTAAACGTTGTGTTTTGCAACCCCTGAAAATATTTATTTCGAGATAAAGAAATACCATAGACAACACCAATTTGTTGTGGAGCCTCTAATATTTACTCCATTGCATGAAGATAAATAAATGACACCGTATTCATTCCAATAGTTCTTGAGTTTATTGATTAATTTTGATTCACATTTACAATTTCTGAAACATACAGGTAGTTAGGTTAGTCTAAACTATTGATAAACATATCATCCAGTTTGTTGGTTCTCTGAATCCGTTATGTAATATCACAGCAGCCCCCATTTTAATCACACGTTCC